TTGATGTGGTTCATTATAATTTAATGCAGGGGCTGATATTTAACTGGCTTCTCATTTTCTCTACTTCCCTGGCTCAAGAATATCAGACACATACTCCTGCCAGAAATGTGGTGATGTGTTTTGGATATGTCAAGCTTTTGTGGAAAGGACAGGGTTTGTTGCTCAGACCCCGGATGGTGTTTGAAGAGAGACCCTGCAGCGGCATGTAAGTCTCTCTCCACTGGCTGTCGGGCAAACACCAGGAAACAGGGCAAGCTCCGGGAACTCTTGTGCCTCTAAACCAAAAAGCATGTGTCTGTCCCCTGTGGTACCTGGGGGTCCAGTGGGGAGACTGCCCTGCCTGGAGGACACAGTGCCCGGAGGGGAAGAGGATCCGCAAGACCAGGGAGAGAGAGGGATGCCCACATGTGGGAACAATCTGAAAAGCCAATCTGAGAAAGAGAAAAGAACAATTAGGGCAGCTTACGTGATGTGCCAAGCCTGGGACTAGGCACTTCACAAATGTGATCACCCTGTTCATTAGAACCACCTCATGAGGTAGGTGATGTAGCAGTCTGTGTCCACCGCAGCATTCAGACAAGAGACCTGGATCCCATTGTATGAGGAGCCTCCTGGGAAGGGACCCATCCTGAAGGAAGAATGAGGACCTCCAAGTCAGTTCAAGAACAGTGGGACTTGCCTGGCACCGTGGTGCACGCCGATAATCCCAGCAGCTGCGGAGGCTGAAGCAGGAGGATCGTGAGTTCAAAGCCAGCCTCAGCAAAAATGAGTGAGACTCTGTCTCTAAATAAAATACAAACTAGGACTAGGGATGTGGCACAGTGGTCAAGTGCCCCTGAGTTCAATCCCTGGTACCCCTGCCCCCCAAAAAAGAACAGTGGGACTAGGGCCAAGTATCAAAGTATTTTCATGCTTAGCAGAGTATGTTGCACTGATCCTACCTGCAACCCTAAACCCTCACATCCCACCGTCCAGAAAAATTAAAGGGTCTTTCTCTGCTATGGTTTGGATCTCCAGTGTCCTCCAAAGGTCCACATGTCAGCAGCTTCATCCTTATGGTGGCACTGTTGGGAAGAGGTTGGAACATTAGGAGGTGAGGCTTAGTGAGGTTGTGCCCATGAAGGGAACTGTGGGACCCCAGTCTCTTCTTCTCTCTCTTTTTTACTTCCTAGCTATGAGATGAGCAGTTTCACTCCATGTGCTCCCACAGTGATGTGCTCCCACAGGCCCAAAGTAATGGCGTTAACTGATCATGGACTGAAAACTTTAAAACTATGAACCAAAATAAACCTTTTCTCTTTATAAGTTGATTATGTCAAGTATTTATTACAGTACTAGGCAGCTGACTGAACCTATCATCTCTATGGAACAAAAGTGGCAAACCACTGGTTTTACTGCTAGGGTGGGTGTCAGGTCTGGTCATGAAGGCAGCAGCTTTTGATGTCCATGTTCTCAGACTCAGCAGCCACTGCTGTGGGATCAGGGGTAGGGATGCTGCCCTTGGTGGTCCTGGCTGTCCAGTGCCACTCTGGTCACTGGATCCTCTGAGGCAGTCATACTATGTGCCAGAGCTAGCGACAGTGTATATTAGTTAATGTTTGGCACATAGGGAAGGGAAGGGAGGGAGAGAGGAAGAACATGGGGCCTAACCTGGAGCATTTATCAATTTCTATGGTATAAACACTACCATCATGGCCAAGTTCAAACTACTATTGGAACATCACTGAACTTGAAGGTGAGAAGAGATGCACAGTAGCACATCATTACAGAGTGTTAATGTTTCCATCACAGATACAACAGCATTAAGAGCATAGCTAATATCAAACTATATTAAAATGATTAGAAAATAATGGTTTTGACTGTGTTTCCCCTCTTCTTCTCATACAATGTATTCGGATTTTACATAATTTTGTTTTTGTTTTTGTTTTGGTCATTTGATGGTGCTGCTGAGGATTGGACCCTGGCCCTCATGCATGCTAGGCAAGCACTCTAACACTGAGCCACATCACCAGCCTTTCATTTTTATTTCAATAATGGCTGTATTTAACTAGTGTTGAACAAAATCCCTAAAAAATTGAACAGTCAGATCTCTTAAGACTGTACAAACCAGTTCTAGCACATACCTAACTGAAAAGGAAGAAAATGTGGGCCCAGGTAGTAGCCAAGAGTCCAAGTTCACAGTACAGGAAGGTACTCCTGGGGCCACTGGAGATGTCTGGCAGAATTGAATGAGGGAAGAAAATACCAGAGAGCCGGAGGGTCCAAGCCCAGAAGATGTTATTTTGTTGTGGCTGTTTTGACCTGTTTCTATTTCTGGATTATGGGTAGCAATTGAAATCTAACCCGAGGGGTCAACACCGAGATCTTCTCCCTCTTCAAACACACCTATGCAAAATATTTCCAAGGTGCAGAAAAGGAAAGAGTGCCCCCTGGCCTTACCCTGTGACCAAACTAATCCTTGGCCCCACCTTTCTCTAGCAATGCCCGTCATGTCCTGCAGAATCAGTCCCTGGTTTGCTCCTTTCTCCTCTGCCCCGGATGAACCAGGTCATGGGGCATGTTCCGGGATGCCACCTTCCTCAAACAGCCGCAGTGACTACAGCCTTCTGCCCAAGCCTGGGAGGAGAAGCAGCCCTGAGGCGTCCAGCGTGGACCAGCAGCTCTGAGGGCTGGAGGAGGTTCTGCCCAAAGAGTCATTTACCAGAGCACAGTGAAAGCAGCAGCCCAAGTCCAAAAAAAGAAAGGGTTATGAACTAGATCTGTGTAATGACACAGCATGTGTGCGATTAATTGTTGTCAAAGCATTTTGCTTTTGCATTCATTTCTTCTGTAGGAGAACAAAACTGTCATAACGATGACAACTTTATTCAACATTTGTGCAATTACCAAGCCTAAAAATAAGAAGCTAAGGGGAGACTTTTCTTAAGAAGGGGGAGCTGAGCTCTGTTCCCCATGTCGCAAACCGAGGACAGTATGCCCCCAGGACAGAGGGAGGAAAGGAAGAAAGCTGGATTCATTGAGGGTTGCTATGTGTTACTATGAGAAGCATCTTACCCACTTCATCTGCATAATCCTCCAATGCTGTGAAGAGAGGGGCAGCAGAATAGGGCACTGAAGAGCAGAATTTGTTGGTTCAAGATTTGTGGAGACAGGTTCTCTGCTCCAAGCCCTCTGTGCACGCATGATTCATTTCATTATCACAACGTTCAAGGGAGGTACTATTACCCCATTTTACAGATGAGAAAGTTGAGTCTCAAAAAGGTTAAGAAGCTGGTACAAGAGCCAGCAACCCAAATGCTTATGATTATAATGTCGTTCATGCTGACTTGCTTGCTGTGAAACACAGGAGGTGAGCAGAGCCACAGTCTTGCAATGGCCCTCCTCCTGTTTCATCTCTATTTCCCTTCTCTTGTCTTTATCACCTCCCATCCTCCATCTCTGGGGATGTGCATCACCCTTTCAGGAATACAAGTATTTTCAAGGTCCTAAAGTCAAAAAGACCCGGATTGGAATCTGCACTACTTATTAGCAATTGTGAACTTAGCTCACGTGCTTGACCCCCATAAACCTTAGGAATTCCAAGCACACGCTGAAGACAGTCCTACTTTGAATTAGTACCATGAAGATTTAATCAAATGCTTTGCAGAGAGCCCAGTGCATGGTCAGCTGCAGTTGCTATCATTACTGGCTAGAGGACATGGCATTGAAACAGGGAGTTAGGTCCTAGCCTGACCCCTCGACTTGGGATACTATCAGGGGTCAGGAGAGCAGCCAGGTCCAGGGATCTTCCCTCCATTCCCATATGGCCAGTGGTCTCCATGATCCCCCAAAGGGTAGAATTTGCCTGGGCATGGGCATAGGGCAGAGTGTGGATGGCAGGGAAGGCTTGCCCTCTGTGGAGTTAGGGAGCAATTACCATGTGCCAGGCCCTGTTCTAAGTATTTGCAGATATCAATTCATGTACTCTTTATAACAAACCAGAATGGTGGGTGCTATTGTTTTCCTACCTAGCAAAGTGAACGTGAGCTTAAATGACTCCCCTCCCCAGGGCCTCTGGACCCAGCCATACAATGTCTATGGCTCTGCCTGTCTATAGGAACAGAATCAATTCACCAGCCGTGTCCCCTTGAGAAGCTCTCTCCTGAACTCATTCTTGGGAATGGTGAGCTCTCCCTTGCTCAAGGAAAATATTCACTTTCTGATTATTAAGATTCTGGAAAACTCTAAGGAGTTTCTCTTGGTGCCCATGTCCTCAGACCCAGCAACCAGTGCTATGGCATCAGGGATAGGGATGCTGCCCTTGGTGGTCCTGGCTGTCCAGTGCCACTCTGGTCACTGGATCCTCTGAGGCAGTCATGCAATGTGCCAGAGCTAGGGACAGTGTATACTAGTTAATGTTTGGCATGTGGGGAAGGGAAGAGGGTGGGGAGTGAGGAAGAACATGGGGCCTAATCTGGAGCATTTACCAATTTCTATGGTATAAACACTACCATCATGGCCAAGTTCAAGCTACTATTGGAACATCACTGAACTTGAAGGTGAGAAGAGATGCACAGTAGCACACCATTACATAGTGTTAATGTTTCCTAAGTTGCTGAGGCTGACTTTGAACTAGTGATCCTCCTGCCTCCCAAATTGCAGGGATCACAGGTGTGTGTCACCACACCCAGCTGAGGCTTGTTTCTCTGGATGAGGATAATTCATCTTCTCAGGAACACAGCCACGCTGAGACCAAGCAGTCCTGAAGGTAATTGCTCCCGCCAATGGTTACCCAGCCAGGAGGAAGAGTATTGGCCAAGGGAAGTCTTCTTCAAAACTCCACCTCCGATTCTCCAGTTTTTAGCCATTAGCCTCCCAGCAGAAGCCTGAATTTTGTTTTCTGTAGAATTTTTAGAAGCACAATGTCTTTTTGAAAATGTGCTTTTTCTACCTACCACTTTGCCAACCATATGGAGACGAGCCCCGCCCATGATGGGGTTGAAATGAACGAGTCAGTGAGGTGAGACACCCAAGTTGTCGCTGCATTTTAAACATAGCACACAACGCATTACACAAACACCATTCATAAACCTGACTCACAGGTTTCAGACGGGAGCTGGGTACAAGTATAAATAGCCTGTGTATGTTAAACAGTAGAAAAGCAAGGAAATTTGGGGAAGAGGGTCAAAATCATTGTGCCCAATTTAAACATCATAAAAATCTCAGCCTTGTCATTATTTACAACCCCCGCATACCTCCCACCAGGAAAAAAAAATGGAGAGAAAGCCAAGTGGAAAATTCTAAATAAGCTGATGTCCTCACGTTGAACTAAACAGTACAAATGATGCAGCATCATAAAATTAAGTTATAATTATGTTGTCTCACTTCCTGGCTGCCGGATGCCCACGGTACAGAGCAGCCACTTGACAGAATTTTCTGGGCTTGGAATTGCTTTGGGATTTTTTTTTTTTTTTTTTTTACAAAAAGGTAGCTTTAACTAGTGTTGACCAATTGATTCGCATTAAATGATTCCAATGGTTTTTGGTGGCAGCGGAAGAATCCACCTTGGGATGGTGAAGGACTAACACCTTGAACGTGTGACAAATGTTTTAAAAATCCACTTCTCCCGTATTCCCCCTCCATAGCTCAACCTGTGACCCTGGACATAACTTATTGCCAATAGACTGCCCCAAGCCCCATTCATAAAGTTACTGCTCAGACTCTCACTAAGCGTGGTATGAAAATGGCATGTCGGCAGGCTCATGGCTGGTTACTGGCCAAGGCCAACCCTGCAGACTTCCAGCCCCTGCCATTGAGGTGTGGCAACAATTGAGAAGATGTACAACAAGAGTCTTGGGCATGGCCAGGACATCCTGGAGACTTCCGATCGTTCCCCTGTCCTCGTAGACTCAGCCTTGACTCTGGGTCACTTTGTTCCTTAGCAGGCAGCCTGCAGCCTTCTGGCCTCATTCCCACCATCCGGGAACTCCATGTGAACTTGCAAGCTGCCATTCGATGAAGTAGATTCAGGAAGCAGCCACCATCTCTCAGGAGAAGTTTAGTTTTTCATCACCTATTTCCAGGTGCCCTGCTGCTCAACCTGGGCCGGGGATTTGAACGCCAAAGACGGAGACACCCAGGACAATGACAGACACGCACAGTTAGCTCAGGCCCCCACCGCTGTGTGGTTTCAGTTCCTTCCTGTTCAATCACTGCCTGCTGGGTCTCTTTCTCACGTGTCCCCACTCTGGTTTCTCCTCCAGTCACCAGCAGAAGTGGACTTCTCAGCCTTGACCTCTCCCATCTCAGTCTCTGATGATGTGCGTGGCCTTTAGGTTAAGAGCTCACTAAAGTGTAGATCATGCTGGATGCAAAAAGAAAAGGGCAAGCAGGTGTTAGCAGGAGCTTCCAAAAGACTGGTCCCCTCGGCTTCTCCATCCTTCCCGTCACTAGAGCATCTGGTCTACCCCCTACTGTGCCCCTTGGACTTCCCATAATGCTGAAATGAGCATTTGTTAGGACAACATACTGTGTCCCTTGGATAAAAGATGTGATTGCAATAAGTACCTATTATTATTCTCATCGGGAGGACTATTATGGTTCTTATTTCTTTTCCTGCAATTGCAGGGCAGGTCGCTGGGGGAGGCAGGGGGTATAGCAGATACTTTATGCCACCAGCTGCTGTCACATGTTTACATGATGGCTGTGTCCAGGGGCTCCCAGATGGTGATGCAAAATATGTTAGCACCACAGATCTCAAGTAAAGATCACCATCGCTACTGTCAGCACCAGTGTGTGAACACAGCTCCCAGCCACCGCCACCGGGCATATGAACTATATGAATTCAACACTGGGTAACTCCCCATCCCTCCTGTGTTAATGAACTCCAAACGTTATGAGCATGGTTCCTAAGGTGGTGCTCCAACAGTACCAAGAGTGGAGGGGCATGCATCTTGTGCTCTTAGAAGAAACTTCAAGTTAATTCTGCAAGGCTACTGAATGATCCACACCAAAATAAAACACTTTTTGAATATTTGGCAAAAAAGAAAATCACCTTTTCACATTACAGAAAGCAAACAGGATAGTCTAAGAAGCAAAACCCAGGCAAAGAAATGAAAATGTTCCTTTCTAAACCTTTGCAGCTGTGAGGACAAACGAGCTCTTCTGAGCAGCCCACACTCCATTTTCCACAATATGATGGGCCTGATGTTCACAAAGCACCGCTGGCCAGGGCTAGAGCTAGAGGGACTCACTCAAACCATATGGCTAGTGACACTAACTCCAAGTCTAGTCCTTTTTCCCTTATGACACTGAGCCTCCTTGTGGATGTCTTTAATTCACTTCCACTCATCCTTTTATTCAATAGTGATTGAGCGCCTACTGTATGCCAGGCCCCATTCTCAGTGCAGGGAAACAATGGTGAATGTGCAACCCTCGTCCCTGCCTCAAATAAACATGTACCCAAGTTGCAATAACAAACAACAAGGTTTTAATGAGCACCAACTATGTGCTAGACACTGATCAGGGCACTGCAGATACAGAGGTGAACGAAACAGAAAAGTTCACTGCTATCAAGGGACAAGTAAGCCATAAATAATGTAATTAGAGAGTGAGAGAAATAAACCTGAAAAGAGGCAGCCACCATCCAGAATAACTGGGCAGGAGGATGTTGCAGCTTAGGAAGATAATATGGCCCTATTATACTCTGGGTTTCAAAAGCTCTTTCTATTGAGTGTGTTGACTATTTCTATGGAGTGACACTGAACTCACCAGCCACTATTAGCATTAGCTCGTCTCCATCTCGCACAGCCACAAACATCTCCTGGCCCACAAGATAAACCGAGAAGGGATTGCCATATAGCTATATGCCATATAGCCATATTGTTAGCACCATGGAGTGGAACAAGCTTGGGCCCTGGAGCCAGATGAACTGGTAATTATGAGCAGCCTCTTTGGACATGTTTCTTCTCTGGGGGCGCTCAGGAATCTCAAACTGTAAAATGCCAACCCCACCTTCACATGGTCCTCAGGGGCACTCACATGAGATTCTAGCCCAGTGCTGAGCTCAGAGGCAGCTCTGCACACATGTGCCCTTTCGTCCCTCTGACAGCATCCCAGGCTGACAGTTCTGTGTCTTCTACCAGCTCTGGATCTGGGTTGGGAGCTCCTGAAGTGGGAGAAACAGGGTCTTCCAAGAGGCCTGAAGAGCTCCAAGAGGTCAGATTTCACAAAAAAAACATGGGCACACTCAGCCCACCACCCAGGGACCTGGTGGGGCAGGGTGGCATTATTTATAAGTTTATTTTGGAAACCAAGTAGTTAACATGAAGGAGCTGGAGTGATGGACTCAAAGACAGATCGTTAAGCAGAATGTCAGGAACATACTCAGTTACAGAATGATCACGTCTACTGAAAGGCCCGGAAGCCACCAACAGCATCCTGCGCCACCCGCTCCCGCCCCCACAGCCCAGCAGACACAGAGCAGCATTGCTTTCTGTCTGGGGATTTAGATGCTTCAGACTCCAGCCTTTACTGCGACAAAACAGAAATGAGGGCACTTGGCTTGCCTCAGTCTCGGGGACTAGGGTGGATCCCAGCTCAGGGGCAGGAGGCAGGGGAAGTAGTAGCTTTGTTCTGCTGATTTAAAAGAGGGACAAAGCTGTCTCTGGGGTCAGGCCACTCAGCCTATGACTCTGCAGAAGAGTGGTCTGCAGCCCCATGAATAAAGTAAGGTTGGGTACATTCCAGAGAAAAGACCTAAGAAGGAGGTCACCTAAGAAACCACCAAGGTATGGAGTCGCTCAGGCCATGAGAGCTTTTTCCCCATGACAGGAACCAGCCTGAGTTGCTAAAAAGCTCAAACTTGAAGCCAAAAAGACTTGGGTGAATTGCTGAGCATCTCAGAAATCACCAGAGGCATTAAAACCCCTTAGGTTCCCTTCAAGTTGAAGCAGGAAACTCCATTGGAGTGAAACCTTGAGCCTGAAGCAACTCTTAACTTCAAGAAGAAAATTCTAGAGGAACCCTGAATCCTGGAAGAAGCTGAGCCTGCAGGCAGGGGGGGTAGAGAGGGGGGAGAAGGCCAACAAAGCAGACACTCCAGGGGCAGTGCTCACCCTGAGGTGTGCATTTGACCCCCCCACACCAGGGGCACATTTAAAGTGCAGACATCTAGGCCTCTGAAAGTCTGACTTGTAAAACTAGGTCCAGAAATTTGCATTTTTAAGAAGGATGCTCTCTGCACTTCCCATCCATCATTGATAAAGACTTGTCTAGTGTTTCTCTAAAACAGGCGGTAAGTTAAGAGTTCAGGTTTGGCATCAGCCTGGGAATAGACTTCCCACTGTGACGCTATTAGCTGTAACCTTGGAGAATTATCTACCTTCTCAGAGCCATCTCCTCGTTTTTTAATACGAGGATAGTATTTATCTCATACAAAGCTCTTAGCTCAGAGCCTGGTTCATTTTTAAATGCTGGACAACACAGTCGCTTCCCAGCCTACCACAGCCCAATCCAAACCCAGAGGTGTCTATAGAGTCTAACATCCCCACTTTTCCTCTATACAACTATCACCCTGTCTGGAAACAGCACTGGGATGTCTGGGGTCCACAAGAGGTGGCAAGGTAACAGGAGAGAGGCCCCAAGATAATCACAAAGAGAAACAGGAAGGAGATGTTTCCAAAAAAGATACTCTGGGGTATCAAACCATAAGATGGTCTGTTTATAGCTACCTGCTTAGCTAGGACATTCTGAGTGAAGAGGTGAGAAGGTGAGATTCCCAACAGGGAGTTGCAAAGTCAGCAGAGTGGTGTTATATAATGTGGGAAAATTGTGAGCGTAAGCATTTAATGACCCAATGTGCCACATTGCAGAGCATGACTGCCACTGGGGGTTGCTCTTATGGTGCCCAAGAATCTTTAGACACAGGCTGGGGGAAAAGGGTCTTGGGATGAGGCTGTGCTCCTAGGGCCACAGGTAACTTGATGGGTGGAGTGACAGTGTTCTGGAAAGGCGTGGCCAATGGCAATTCACCAACTATCTCCTGAAAGATGGTGGTAAAATGTGTTTAACTGTGGCCATAGGGATGTGTACAGGACCTTCCGCCTCTTACTCCTTTATACAGAAGTCCTCGATCCTGAACTAGAGTCAGACACAACTGACCGTTACTCCCACCCTCATCAGCCAAGCCCCTGGAGGCAGCCTCCCCAAAGGAGGTAGAAATTCCCTTGGGAAAATCCCCTTCCATTTTTTGCAAGAGTCAAATCCACCTGGAGGGGCAGAAACTCACCAGTAAAGGTAGTAGAAGAACGAGAGGAGGTAGAAGGCCAGCTTACACCAGGCCTCCTTCTGACAGTAGCTCAAGGTGTCTGCATTCATGACCACTGGCGGGTCGTAGGCCAGCTCTGAACTATCTGCCGGACAGTGGAAATACCTGCAGGGAAAGAGGACATGGCATCACTGTCTCTGAGGCTCTGGGACTTCCAACATCACCTGGGTCAAGCCCTCCTGATCCAGGACTTCCCTCCTGTCATCCCTGCCAGTCTTCTTCCTTCTGCCGGGCACCACTCAAATGTGGCTCTGCCACCATCTTCTAATAGGATCAGAGTGACTTTCCCATGTACAATGATGCTCTGATGGAAAGAAAAAAAATGTGTCTCCTGGTGTCCTCTGGGAGTACTAGGAAGAGCTTCCTTTCAGAACAGACGCAACTGTGGTGAAGGTAGGCCTCTGTGCCACTGTACCTACATTCTGCCTTAAAGTTCATTACTTTGGAACTGAGGATGTAGCTCTGTGGCAGAGAGCTTGCCTGGCGTGAACAAGGTCCTGAATTTGATCCTCAGCACAGCAAATAATAGTAACTATTTTGAATTAAGTATTTCCCTCTATGCAAACCCTCAGAGGTAGAACTCTAAGAGGGACATCATATTCCCATTTAGATATAGAGTAATTTTTAGGTACTTCTTTTCTTGATAGAAAGACCCAGAAGAGCAGAAAGAACATTCTCCATCCATGGGGAAGCTGGAAGAGTAAAAGAGCTATGGGTGGAAGAGAAAGACCACAGCAGGCTGTCTGCTTCATAAGCCCCAAATCCACACAAGTGTCACATCAGTGGCCACTGCCAGGGAGGAGAGCACCCCCTGGATTGCTGCCCTCAGGACCTGACCTTTAGCCCCTACCAGGACACTGGCTGCACCTCTTCAGCCCAAGAACACAGGGCAGCTGAATTCACCCAGCAGGCTGCTTTTCATCCCTCTGGAAAAGGAATCCTGGGAGGAGGCAGGAGTGAGAATTCATGGCTCCTTCAAGGTTCTGGGACAGGCAGTGGTTCTCGATCCTGAGGAAGGACCAGGTGACCCATCCTAGTGGTTCTGAAGACCATCCCTATAACACAGCAACCTGCAGACCTGGCATCTCAGTTCCCTTTTCCTTCCCCTTCAAAGAATTGCATTGACGGGATCTGTCACCGACATTATGCAGAGAGGACATCACAAGCCAGATTCAATGATACCTGCCAGATCATAGCCCTCTGGGCCACTCACCTCTCCTCTTTCCGGGAGGAGATTTCAAAACCTATTTGCTTTCACTGTGGCTTTGTTCCCAGGTGACCTTGTTAAGTGGAGGCAGAGGGACAGGGTGACCAAATGTTTTGGTGGAAAGAACCAGGGTCTGTTTCCTGGTCACCAGAATGATCTTCCTTAGGTCAGACATTAACCTGTCTTGGCCTTAACTTCTCATCTATAAAACAGGGATGAAATTGCCCACCTCAAAGGACAGTTGTGATGATTGTGTGAAGTGATGTATGCAAATAACCTGCAAAAAGAATGGGCACCGAATCAGTGGCAGACAGCTCTACTTGTACTGAAGCAAATTGAGAGTGAGAGCAGAGGGACTTTAATGGCCTGAGAAACATCCCTGACCTGGGTCTGTTGGAAAAGGAAAACCAGGTGTTCAAAGACTCTGATGTTTTGCTCGTTTGTTTTGGTACTGAGGATTGAACCCAGGGGTGCTTTACCCCTGAGCCACATCCCTAGCCCATTTCATTTTTTATTTTGAGACAGGGTCTCACTAAGTCACTTAGGGCCTCACTAATTCCTGAGGCTGTCCTCAAACTTGCAATTCTCCTGCTTCAGCCTCCCAAGTCCCTGGGATTACAAGTATGCACCACCACATACGGCAAAGACTCTGGTTTTTAAGGAATTCTTTATTCTCATTCTTTTTTTATTTTTTTTTCTTTCATGTTTGGGCACTTACTAATTGTGTTAGTAACAGTGTATAGTATATAGGATCTCATTGCTAGATCCTATCAGGGATCCAAAAAAATAAGTCAAGGTCCCTACTGGCAAGACTACAGTTACTCTTCCTCTTTGGATGCACAGATTCTGAGCCTAGGGGCACTGGTACTTTCCATTTTCTTCCATTTAGACCAGTCCCAGCCCTAAGAATAGTACAACAATCAAAGTCTCATACATTGATCACATTTTTTTTCTCTTTGGTGGTGCTGGGGATCAAACCCAGGGCCTCAAGCATGGTAAGCACGTGATGTATGAGCTACATCCTCACCCCATGACCACACTTTTGATACCCTCCATTGACAGCTCCCAACTTAAAGGACCTCAGGATAAACTTCCTTTAGGGGGAGAAGAGACAGCCCCTTGGGCCACATGTGAGGTAGCAAGGATGAGGACTGAGATTCACACCATGGAGAGATGGAACCATGGTCCTGCCAGGCACAGGGTAAGTGACCCTGGGCAGCTGACCCACCCTGTTGAGTCTCTGTGTTCCCTTATGTGATGCAGGGAAAACTAAACCCACCTCAGTCAGCTGTTGCAGATATTGATCCAGGTAAAAGGTAGTAAAAGGTGTAATTACATTACAACACTGTAATTATTCTATTTGGCTACTCTCTGTGTTCTGTGTTCTCTCTTTAACAAATTGCTTTTACTTAACCCCAAAGAGCCATGTATTGAAGGCTTGGCCCCCAACTTGGTATTATTGGAGGTGATAGAACCATTAAGAGGTTGGGGCTGAGTGGGAGATCTTAGGTCACTGGGGTTGTGCTCTCAAAGAGAATTATGGGATACCAGTCTTCTCTCTCTCTCTCTCTCTCTCTCTCTCTCTCTCTCTCTCTCTCTCTCTCTCCCTCCCCCTCCTCTCTCTTTCTCTCTTTTCCCAGTTGCCAAAAGGTGAGCAGCTTCCCCTACTAAGTGTTCCTGCCCTGATGTATTGTCTCACCACAACCCAAAGGCAATGGGACCAATCAAGTACAAACTGAAACCCCCAAAACTATGAGACAAAATAAATCTTTTTTTCTTTCTAAGGTGATAAATACAGGTATTTTGTTACAGTAACAGAAAGCTGACCGACACAATGTACAACTTCTCTATGTAACCAAGTCACTTTCCTTTCCTCCCTAAACCTTTGATTTGTTATTCTTTGTGTTTGATCAATGGCACCATCATCCTCCCAGCCTCCCAGCCTCCCAGCTTAGAAGGTCCCTCTCACCCCACTCTTTTATTCAATTTTCGGCCAAGTTCTGCCCAGTTTACCCACAGGTGTTCTCCTGTTGTCTCATGATTTCAACTTCTACTTCCAGGGTCAGATCTTCTTCATCTGGATTTTCACTATGACCCTGAAATTAGTTTTCATCCTCAATATTTCACCTTTTAGCTCATTACTTCTTTACACTTCTTACCAGGGCTACCCTCCTAAAACTCAGATCAGGAAATACCATTTTCCTCCACCAAAGCCTCTTTTAACTTTCCCTTTCTTAGAAAATAAATTAACTCCAACTTTTCAACAAATCTTCTCAGGTACCCCACATAAGCTTCCCAGCCTGTTTGTCAATTGCATCTCTTCTTACCCCCTCGAAGAACCCTACATCCAACCACACCAAGCAAATGCTGCTCCCCAAACACACAAGTGCTCTCTTACTTCTGGACCTTTGCAAACGCTTTCCAGATTTTCCAGTGTCACTCTTCAGTCTAATTTAAGTGTTTCTTTCTCTACGCTCCTATAGATACTCATCATATGTCTGTTAAGAGTATATTTTCAGGCTAGGGATGTAGCTCAGTGGTAGAGTGCTTGCCTAGCAAACAAGAAGCATTGGGTTCTATCCTCAGCATCAAAATAAATACAAATACAAATAAATAAATTAAATAAATCATGTCCATCTACATCTTAAAAAGAAAGAAAGTCAGAAAGAGAAAGAATGTATTTTCTTCTACCCTAGGATATATAACTTGAGAGTAGGGGTTATATTTTAAACTCATCTTGGAATCCTCCACAATGCCTAACAGGTAGTATGTGTTCTGGACATTTACTAAATGAAAGAGTGAAATGCTCCTGATGTGACTAAATAAAAACTAAATGAAGATTAAGTATTTCATGGTCAAATAATGATGGTTTGGGCATCCAGAGCTCTGGGAGCAAGAGGTCCAGAGGGCAATTTATCTGCACAATTACATTCTCTTCCATCTTTTTAATTCTCTCATCCATGCTTCCTATATCCATATGGTAGCTATATTTTACAAAAAAGCCCAAATCACATGATTTGACACATGGCTTTAGCAGGGAAAAGAATATGTGAGATCAGAACTGTCCCAGAAAATTCAGCCCATCTGGTAGGTGCTTTTTGTATTAAGATATGACTTACATACCATAAAATTCACCCTTTTAAAGTGCACAAGTCAGTGGGTTACAGTGTGTTAGAGAGTTGTGTACCATTACCACTAATTTCAGAGCATTTTCATCATCCTAAAAAGAAAATTCTAAACCCATTAGTGATCACTCCCCATTCCTGCTCCCATCCAGCCCTGGGAAGCCACTAATTTGCTTTCTGTCTCCATAGATTTGAGTATTCTGGACCTTTCATATAAATGGAATCATAATATGTGCCCATTTGTACCTGGCTTTTTTCCATTTATATTTTCTTTAAGGTTCATCCATGTTGTAGCATTTATCAATACTTCATTTCTTTCTATTGTCAAATTATATTCCATTGCATGGATATATCACAGTTTGTTTATCCATTTACCAGCCAACGAGCACGTGGGTTGTTTCCTTTTTTTTTTTTTTTTTTTTTTTACTATTGTGAAGAACACTGAAGCCATTTTTAATACTGACCTATAAGAGCTTGGGTTGTGATCAATGGAGCCAATATAAAGGACCTTCCCTTATATGGTCTTGCTGCCTAAGAGCAGTTTGGGAAAGGGGATTTGGAGAGAAAGTCCCCCAAAGGAAGGGATGAAGGGATGGCACTAAGTGGCTGATCCATTCGTGGGACACTGTCATTTTGAGAGCAGGCTATTTGGGCAGAAAAGAGGAGGATGGGCCAGCCTCTGACAGACTTACCTCCAGAAGTGATAGAACAGTAGAGGGACATTCAGCCCCAGGGTAAGCCACTCCTGGGCACACAGGAACATGATGCAGAAGAGGCTGTGGATGGAGTACTCTGGCAGCACCAGCTGAAGAGGAAGCAGAGACACAGGCCTGGGTCAGAGAGAGGAAAAGCTGATCCAATTCCTCCAGCAAGTGATTCTGCCTCGACACTGCCCCCTAAGCTCTGGTAACACCAGACCCTTCCTGTAGCAGCCTGGAGTCAGGGCCCCAGGATGGTCACCATTTTTATGGGAAGTCTCCATGTTTTACATTCAATTGCAAATGGACTCAGGCCCTCTACACTTGCTCCTGTGAGTCGCTGACCCCTTTGCAGAATGGCGCTGGCGATCCAGCACTGTGATATCTGAAGCAAGGCAGGACCACAAGGACAAAAGTCCTAGGGCTCCTACTGATCCTCTAACTGCCTTGTTCTTGTTTTTCTAGTCTCTGTGCATCCTTTTCTAGTATCTCTTTCAAATACAGGAGGGCCCAGAAAAAAGAATTGAAAAATAGCATTTGGCTTGATGATAAATAAGAACCCAAGAGAAAAATCAAGGAACAGTGATAAACAGGTATAGTGCAACCTTGGGGACAAGGGAAGAGAAACCAGCCCAGACCAAGAAGGGCCAGATGGAGGGAGCCACCAGCAGGAAGATGAAGCTCCCCCACTCCCAATCCAGCCACACAGGGTAAAAAGAGCTTAAAATAATTATGAACCCTCTGAAGAGTGTTCACATTTTAGCAGAAATGAAAGCTATAAGCTAAAGGGTGATTGCAAGGGAGAAATTTGGTGTCTAGGACAGTATTAAGGGGAAGTCTACAGCTATGCAAAATACATCATCTTACCCAGACATGTGGGGAGAATTTATATATATGTATGTGTGTGTGTGTGTGTGTATATATATATATATATTCACATTTAATATAAACATACATTTTATATAAATAAATATATACATTTTATATAAATAATTTTTATATTTTATAAAATATAAAATGTTATATTTATAAAATTTTTTATAAAAATTTTTATTAAAAATTTATATATTACAATTTGTTTTGTTTACATATGTAATTTATTTATATAATACAAATCATAATATAAATTATGTTTATGTTATATAATACAGAGACTATAAATTACATGATATTATATCTAATATATAAATTGTTATTTATATTATATATTACACAGTTGGTCCTCCATATCCATGGATTCAGCCAACCAAGACTGAAAATATTTGAAAAAAAATGTTGCCTCCGTATTAAACACGTAAATTTTTCTTGTCACTATTCCCTAATAACTATTTACTTAGCATTTACATTATATTCAATATTACAAATATCTAATACAGACAAATCTAGAGATGATTTAAAGTCTATGGGAGGATGTCATAGGTTATGTACAAATACTATGCCATTTTCTATAAGGGACTTGAGCATCTGTGGATTTTGGTCTTCACAGGGGATCGTATATCCAACCCCCCACAGATATCAAGGAAAAACTGTACCATATTATGTGTGTTGGGGGGTCCTCAGCATCTTATATTTAGTCCATTATGAATGTTTTGGTCTTCCTATCAATATCTTTCTGTCCTTCAAGGCCCAACTCAAATTCCACTTTCAAAACAAAGTTCTGCTCACCCTATCCTGTACCTCTAAGCCCCTCCACATGCTTTCTGACCCTCTCTTAGGGGAACCTTCCACAGTCTATCCATATAGAGCCATTATCCTCCTCTTTCTAATGCGCATGGATATACTACAGTTCTCTGTAAGCTGACTGGGTCAAAGTCTATACTTTTCTTATCTCCTTTTGCAAAGTGCTTTGCACAATGCCTGACACTTAGAGACTTTACAAATATTTGATAAAATGAACTGAACTAACTAAATGTGTGCATTTGCCAAAGGTTAGCTGGCAGTGGAAATGCAGCTTGTGTTCACAAACCAAGACTTCTGGGGCCAGGGGACTGTCCATTGTAGGTACAGAACATGGCTTTGGCCTCTCATTTTAGGCAGATGAGCTAACTGCCCCATATGGCAGATACAGAGGGAGAAACACATATGCACACATTAAAAATAAACACATGCACGGGCACACGTGTAAGAAATGCATTTTGTAACTAAAGGCATCTTCTTTATTTTCAAAGTCTGATATAGAATGAATTGCATTTGCTTAGATTTGCATCTTCCTTAGATTTGCCAGACAGTAATCTTGGAATCAAAGCATAAGAGCCATCATTCCAGAGGTTGGTTACCCTTGGTGGGTAAACCAGGCATAGTCTGCCCCTATGAGTCTCAGCCACCTAGAGGGAGGTCTCTGTCATTTCTCCTGGAGGACCTCAAAGCTGGGCTTACCAACTCCATCTGCACTGGGCCAGGGCACCACCCTGCCGCTGGATTTCTCCTTTGAATGTATCAGCACAGGGCAGAAGGGGTGGATAGTGGCCGTGAGTTCTGCTATGCCTACCTCTACATTTTTTAATCATCACTTTCAACCACTTATACCAAGGTAATTAACACATTTAGAGACAGCCACCCTGGGTCCAAATCATCCATTATAGCTCCATCTCCAACTCAATGCCAATGACAAATCTCTGACTGATTACAGTTTGGATTTCAGGCTCCACTATTAATCACCGCCGTTGCTTCTCTCTCCAGGGCTTGATTTATAGTGCAAGTAGCAACCTTCAAAGCAGGGAGGATTCGTCACTGTCCCTATGGAGAGGAAAACTACTTAATAGAGGCCAGCTGGTCTCAGAGTTCTCCAGTCTTTTGAGGGCTGGGGAGGGGGGGGGAAATGCGTAAAAATTATCCTATTCTGCATGGCCTCTCCCAATTGCCTTCCACCATCTGGAACTCTGTACAGGATCCTCACAAGTGGGACAGGTACCTCTCATTAATCTAGGGACACTTCTAGGAGTGACTATGTCCTTAACATACACATACTTTGTCTTTCCTATGTCCCTAGGCATTCCTTGTCATAATCAAGTGAACAATGTAGGGAACTTATTCCTTCTAGACCAAATGGAAATCAGCCAGGCCACTCGCACAAGACTTGAATCATGGCTGTCGCTGTACCTGCCACTCACTCCCAGCATTCAGAGCATAGAAAGAAGGCAATTCCTGCAATCTGTATTTGGGGTAAAATTGGGAGTTCAAAACCCACTTGAATCAAATGTATGAAATATGATATGTCAAGAGCTTTGTAATGTTTTGAACAACCAATAAAAAAAAAGAATGAGAATTGTACTGCTTTGAGGTGAAGGAAGGCTTCACAGAAGATAATACATTCCTTTATTTTGAAACTGTGTCCTTATATAAATGATTTTGTCAAATGAGTGGTGGGGAAATGGTGAGTTTGTGTCATAAATTAGTGTCACAAGTACATAAATTAATGTTTTATTAGCCATAAAAATAAAGCTAGAAAATTAAAAAAAAACTGTTAGCTAGATCAATGGAATCCACATTGATTGTCTTCAAAATTAATATTTCATTTTAAAAGTTAAAATTGAGTTTGTCAAGTTTTAAGGAGAAAAAAATTGCTTCTTTGATAAATCAATAGCTTGTAAATGCCACAATAGTTATTAGATTTAAGAATTAAATGCTGCTTGAATAAAACAGTACATGTTTCTGTAAAAAAAAAAAAAAAAAAAAGAAGGCAATTCCCAGCCCCTGGTTGTTAGGTGGGGCCTCTGGACTTTGAGCAGAAGTGATGAGAAGGCTAGAGGATTTAATGACCCCTACAAAATGCTCCAGAGCCTCTTTCTTTCCACTCTGACATAGTCAAAAGCATTTAGCATGGTGGACACTTCATCATCTTGAAACCATTAAGTAGGAGAAAGGCCCCCAGGCAACTTGTGATAGACTTGGAACATGAGAGAGAAACTTGTTGTTTTAAGCTATTGAGTTGAGTATTGTTTCTTACCATGGCATAATTGAGTCTATCTTGTCTGATACACTCAGTAAGCTCCAGAAGGAGGAATCAATGGGGAAAGCAGTTGTGTTCTTCTTTCTTTGTCCTCCTCCTGACCGTCCATCCAGCCTTTTCTTTAACAAGCATCAAGGCTGGTGTGACACACTTCCCTGTCACTGCCACCAGGCAGACACAATGCTTATTCATTTGTGTGGGCAGTTAGACTGGGCAGCCCCTCTCAAGTCTAAGAGTTGCCTACCTAAATCTACCAGGCAACAGAGAGAGGTTGATTGAATCACTGACCACAGCCCCATGACCCTGCATCATTCCTCAGCACTGGAATACATTGTTTTTTTCATAAGAGAAATGGTTGAATGGTGCCAATCTCTCTCTTTCATTTACCAAATGGTAAAGGAGAAAACGTTTCATGCAGGCCATGGAATCCCTGTGTCATGCTATGCCCTGCTTTCTGTAGTCAAAAATACTAAATAAGTGGCCTCCATATAGGTATTGTGGGATTGCTGAAAAGACTGCGATTCATTCCAAGGGGATCATGGAAGATGTTTTATAATCAAGGCAGAATCAAGGGACGTTGGAAAGGATGAGTAGAACCTAATTGTGTGTGAAAACTGGAGGTCAGCTGTCTAGAAGAGAAACAATGGGAATGAGAAACAGACAGAAGTCACTGGCCTGAGGAGCTCCTTCAGATGCCACCTAAAGGGCCACTTATTTTACGGCTTGTGGGCCAGGCCTGATACCAGGTAAGAATTGGATCAATGCAAATTCTGTTCCACTGTTCCAGGCCACCCGCCCAGATTCTAGTAGTCAATTTCCATTTGCCAGCCAACATTTCCACAGGGAAACTCCCCACCAGCTTTGTGCTGGATTCTCGCACTCCTCCCAGGAGCTGCAAACGTCATGGCCTAAATTTCCAATTTCATTAAAAACCATCTTTCCTATTAGTCTCCACCTGAGTCCATTTTCAAATCTGGTCATTGCTTCTTCACAGCCACTGGCATTGTTCCTCCCTTTTTCTTTCTTCCTTTTTTTTTAAATATATGACAGCAGAATGTGTTACAATTCTTATTACACTTTTTCATATCTCTGGTTGTATACAAAGTATATTCACACCAGTTTGTGTCTTCATACATGTACTTTGGATAGTAATGATCA